GGGGGGGGGGAGGGGGGCGGGACGGGAGGGGGACTGGGGGGAGGGATGCAGGCATAAAGCGGGACAGGGCGGCGGGGGGCCGGGGGAAGCGGCTTTTTCTCCCGTTGTCACCTTGCCTGCGGGGCTGGGATGCTGCAGAGATCCCCCTCCTAACCGCCCCCCCCAAAAAAAATAAAATATATATAGGGTAAGTGAGCAGGCGGCGGTGCCAAGCGGGCTGTCGGTGTCGAAGCCGCGGCGAGCAGGTGGCTGTGGCCGGGGGGATGCGAAGGCCCAGAGCTCTCAGAAAGGGGGGGGGGACACCCAGAACCTGGATGGAGCACGCCCAAATGCACACACACGTGTGTCTGTGTAAAATAAATACATTAAAAAATACAGTTTTCAAGGTAACGGTGATTCTAGAGTCAGGGGGTTACGATTGTTGAAGACCTTGCATTCGCAGCGCCCTGGTTCCTTTTAAAAAGGTGCCTCGGACATATCCTTTAAAAAGTAGCTAATGCAGACACATGGAAGGACAGAAATGTGCAATTTCTCCGTGACTTGAGGTCCATTCTCCTTCTTGCGGTGAGAGCGTTAGCTACAGCCTTAGCCCATATTAAAGCCTCCCTTGCTAGTCCCATTCCTGACTTTTCTTTTGAGTGATATATTTTTGATACTTCTACTTTTTGGATTTAAATTCTCGAGACACAGTCTCCGCTTGGAAATCGGTTTGTTTTTCTTTCTAGTTTCAACCTTCAGCTCAGCTGTTTGCGAGCCCAGAGAGAATGGAAAACAAAATTCTTTCTTCATTCAAAAGAAAAACAACCCTTCGTGACCTGTTTTGGAAATGCCAGCGCATCCACATGGCTCTGGAGAGAGTGCTAAAGCCTGGGGTGGGAATAACCTCACTGAGTTTTGGAGCATTCCTGGGAAAACTGGGGTTTAATCAGGCCAAGCATGACCCTTTCTCGCAGACACGCAGGGTTTCTGGAGCAGCGTGCTGTTTTTCCATCATGGCACGCTGCTCCCAGCCAGGGAGGCCGCGCTCATTCCACGGGGAACTTGCCGAGCCGCGTACCGTGGTGAATTGAAAGGCCGCAGCAGAGGCATAATTTAGGGCGAAGAGAGAACATGGACATTATTTGGATGAATATACTCTCGGGCAGAGGGCCACGACAAGCCCTCATGGCACACATACGTCTTTCTCTACCCTTTAAACGCAGCCCTGCCGTGCTTCAGGCGTTGAATGCCGGACGCGACGCTGGCTGCCGCCTCGTGCTCCTGGCAGCCGCGGCCGCATGGCAGCAGCCTCCCGCCTGACCCCGATGGATGAAACCCTGCAGCGGGAGGAAGGCTGCGATGGCCCAAGACACCGGCGGTCGTGCCCCCCCCCACGCCGCTTCGCCCAGCAAGAAGCCGCCGTCCCCGCCGTAGCTGGTCGGGAGGCTCTGTGCCCCCAGTACGGAGCTGCCACAAGCCCAGCTGGCTGCTCAGGGGGAAGGAGGTGTCTCAACACTTTCGTTCTGCGTGTGCAGATTGCCTCGCTGGTGTGCAGGACTGTAGCTCTGCAAAAGCAACGCTGCGGGAGCTCCCAACGCAGGCGGAGCAGCTGGTGCTCTGTGATGGGGGCTTAGCACGGCTCCGGGGGCATCAGCCTCCAGCGCTCACGCAGCTCCTGCTGCCCCACCGTCGGTCCTTGCTCTGCGGTGGGCTGCGAGATGCCCTTGCCCTATACCAAGGGCATGGGGACCTCCCTAGGCTGCCCTCCGGCCCCAGGCATCGGGCAGAAAGAGGAAGGAGCTTGCAGAAAGGAGTTGTTTTTCAAAGGCTGAAGTCTTCTCTGGCAGAAGCCACGAGGCAGCGTGTGGGCAGCAGAAGCCCAGGGGAGAGCTCAAAGAGGGGGAAAAAGGTGTAACTTGGGGGCCTTAAAAGTAATGAGGATCCTGTCAAAGAGCCCTCTGTTTTATGGTGCTCCTACTCAATAAATATTTTTATCTTGTTTCCTAAGGAAAAATATTCATGCCATTTTGGGGGCAAGGGGCACATACCCATCACTCACCTTTGAATTCAACTGAATTTAGACACAGAGAGGCAGAGAGCTCAAGGGTATCAACTCTGGGGAACAAAGCAGCGAGATAGAGAGACCATGCCTACACCACCCTCCCTGGGGGGAGGCTGAAGCTTGAGCCCAAACCCCCTTGGACTTCAGAGGACCGACACCAGCACTGCTCCGAGACACGGCTTCCTCGGCCCCGTCACGCAGGCACTGCCTTGCTCTGCCTTTGCTGACTAAAGCAAACAACTGACGTTCCCACTCATCCCTCACCAACGCTGTTTCTCTGCCACCCACATTCCTGTTTTGCTTCCCCTGCAGCATTTCCCTTTCTCCTGCTCCAGGGCTCCTACAACCTCCTTCACCTTCCTCCGTCTCCCTTTCCACACACGGACCAAATTCCCCGTGTTCTCTCTGTGGTCTGTCACAGCCCCTGCACCTCTGGGGACAGGAGCTGCCTTTGGAAGGTGTTTGCACCACTTCCAGCCCCACGCTCTCGTCAGGGTGGGACAGGGCTCACAGCTGGCGGAGGGGAGGTTCTGCCAACACACCTGGAAGAATCCAATGACCGCCACCTCTGCACCGCTGACGAAGGCTTCGGCATCCACGATGTCGTTCAGTAGGATAGGCTTCTCTGCGGTGCCAGCTGCGCCTGGAGAGGAGAGGTCAGGGTTGGGCAGAGGGTGCACAAAGAGCAGCTCAGAGAGCGCGCGAGCATCCCACCCCTTACAAGCTCACCCACACACGTCTCCTGCAAGCTCGACACAACGCTTGTGCAGCACACCCTGGCTCAGGAGGACTCCCCGCGGCAGAGCCAGCCTTTCCCCGAGCCAGGAGGAAAGCTCACTTACTGTGGGACGCGGAGCCGCCGTCTCCAGCACAACCCGCTGGGGACCCCCCGGCCAGCAGGATAACGAAGAGGCACGGGAAGACGGAGGCGCCCACGGTTCTGGCTTGCCCTCTCCTCGCCATGCCACCCCGCTCCCGTCCTCTCCGCGGCAAGAGACACGTCAGCCTTGGCGAGGGCCCACGGCCACTCCTGGGGCGGTGGGAAGGGAGCAGCTGGCCCAGGGCGAAGCCTTCAGCTCCCTAGAGAACCGCCCGGGTGGGAGAGAACCCCTCTCTGCTGTGCGGGCACCAGCCCCAGAGACCCTCACCGACACTGGTGCCCAGTGCGTCCTCACCCACAGCACTGGACATCTGCATCCGCATGACCCAGCACCCCGGCTGGGTAAGAACATCCCTCCACGCAGAAGGAGCCGCTGCACTTCTCCAAGCGCTGCGTCCCCAGAGGCTGACCCCCCAGCCGGGCAGCCGCCGGGACACGCAGCTCTCAGCTTTGGCTCTGGCTACAGGGAAGAGCTGCCGTGGTAAGCGTTAAAAATGAGAGGGCCACGTTATAGCTCCCTGGGCTCATTCAGTTGCCACCCGGGATGAGAGGTGGGGGCTGTCTACCCCTGGAGTCTACCCCCATCGCGGGCCAGACTTTGGGATTCAAGGAAGGATTCATGAAACCCCTGAAGGAAGCAGCTCTAAAATAATTTGCCTATAGAGCGAGGCTGATGTTTTGATGGAAGAGGGCTATTGCCCTGCTGAAACATGCTCTCGAGCCTTCCTATAATGCATTCTCCACATACACATCACTGAAAAACATACTCTAGAAAAGAACGTGACACTCACACGGAAAAGAAGAAACTGATTTTATTCTTGAAACACTGAAGTCTTGTTACAGCATCTAGCTGCATTCCCCCTGACTAGTTTTGCCTGCACAAGGATGGATTTTAACAGGGTAGGGCACCAGATACAGACCAGGAGACCATCACGGGAGGTAAGTAACCATTTACAATGAGTCAGAGCACATGGCAAGTGTAACTCGGATAGGGATTTTCCAGGGACCAGTCCGCCCTGCCAGGTGATCTTGTTTCCTAGAAAAGGCACTTCTGGGACCGGAGTTGGTACAGGAGAGACGGAGGCTGCAGGAGGAAGTACTGGGAGAGAGGGAGGGAGATGCTTCCCAATTTAACCCACTATGTGTCATGATGGGGCGGTGGTGAGAACGGGCGGGTGATTTTCAGTGTATCAGAAGAAGCAGCAAAAGCCGCCTGCAGGCCTGTGCATCGACCGAGGCTGGCACAGAGCCCCGGCGCCCGCGGGAAGGGCTGCCAGGGCCGTAGCCGGCTGCGGTGGCAGGAGGGAGCAGCGTGGTGGGCATGGCCCACCTGGAGACTGGTGCAGGAGGCAAGGGGATGGGAAGGGGGAAGGCAAACTGGGTGAACTCATTCCGTCCATTCCTTCTTGATGGACAGGTTCCACTCCCAGGTGAGATGGTCGTGCTTGTCATCATCCGTGAAGAAGGACTTGTTGTGATAGGTGCCTCGAGCCAGCATGCCCTTAGGAGCCTCCTCGACAGGCGTCAGGAACTCGTACTCCTCTGGCCGTGGCCCGTAGCTGCCAACCATGAACGTGGCTTTGTCCACTAAGAGAAAACAATCCACAAGGGATGAGCCCCTCAGGTGGGGAACGATCAAGGAGACAAGCAGCCACGAGCATGAGCGCAGATCACAGACAGAAAGGAGATAGTGGGGAGAGAAAGGGACGGTCCCTGTCAGCAAGGGGAACAGAATCAGTGGAAAAAGTGGGTTAGTGAAGCACAAGGACAGCTGGAAGGATAAATGGATGGACAGGCAGATGGAGAGGCAACTCAGTCTGTACCCTCTCACAAGTATGTGCTGCTGGAAGGGAGTGGAAGCCAGCACATGGCTCAAGAACTCTCCTGATCCCTGCTACTTCTTTTTTCTGGCGAGAAGACACTACTTACGTGTGCTGAACAGAACGCTGGAGCCTTAGAGGTGGTTGCAGCAAAAATGCACGTGGGATGTGCGTGCGCACAAAAGGGGGCTTTCCTCTGCCTAGCCCACGCAGGGCAGCACTGCACAAACAGGGGAGGCCACGGGCAAACGCAGGGCTCTGCACGCAGTAGGGAGCTTCGGAGAGCAGCTCTGAATTTTACCAAGTGCATCTGGCAGAGCTTTCAGGGGTGGGAAGCTCCACACAGGCTGAGCCACTCTACAGGGGCTGGAGGGGAGGTGAAGAGCTCTGTACAGAGAGGAAATCTGTGGCAAGCACCGTCTAAGCAGTGTCTCTGGGGACTCTGGTGCTGCAGACGTGGTGTAGCGTACAGACACCAGAGCTGGCTTGTACCGAGTTCACACAGGAACAGGAAACTCTTGGCCTGGGCGATGCGGAGTGCAGGCTAACGCACTCTGCCGAGAAGTCTCACCTCCTACGTGGTGGCACGGCGGGGGGGACCTGTGCCAGCCCAGAGCTGCTGGAACACTTCTCTGAGCAGAGGGAACACAGAGCCAGGAGCACTGGTGTGCGGGGCACGAGGGGCTCTTACTCACCCTTCACCCCTGTCCGGTAAGTGTGCTGCACATATTTCAGTCCCGACACAATGTCCCTGTTTACCTGCAAGAAGTGACCAGACGGAAGTGTCAAGGGAAGGGATTTGGTTCTATATCTGCTGGGTTTCTTTCTCCTTAGAGATATACCCACCACTGCTCTCAAAGGCTCAGCACAGGACACATTGGGGGGGGTCCTAACGTGACTTCTCCATAGGCACCGGGAGACCTACAACATCCTCTGTGCATCTCCTGCACTTCCCCATCCTCTCCCTGACTTTGAAGCTGACGGGCTGACGAGGGCAAAGAAAAGTGAAGCAGGTAGTTCCCAGCTAATAATTCCCACATTGAAAACCAGACATGGGTGACTAGAGTCATCCCTCCAGCCCACTGGTGGCTAAAAAGCCAAGCCAAACTCAGCCAAAGCTACCCATCTGGCTTCCAAACCACCTGTTGTTCACCATCGTGAGTGGACAGAAAGCAGCTTCTTCCAAGGGGCGAGCAAGCAGAAGCAGTTCCCTGGAAATACCCAGTCCCTTGTTGGGTAGAATGTCACCTGAACCTAGGGCACCCTTACAAGGGCCCAGCTTTCGGGCAGGCATGCCACCTGGCTCTAGTTATCTGACAGACTGCCCCTGACTGGCCTCACTGACTGATAAGAAGCAACAGGAAGGAAACCAACTCACTCTGAAGTGGATCTTAACTCTGTATTCCACTCCTTCCTTCAATACAAAGATCTCTTTCTTGAGTGCTTCAAGGTCACCTGTAAGGAGAGGATCAAGCCGTTAGCTAGAGGTGTCACAGCGAGAAGAGACCACGCACGGGGGGCTGGGGTTGGTGTCGGAGGTGAGCATCCCCTGGACGGACGGCACACCTGCAAAATGAGTACGTATAAGCAATCGCACCGAGAGCACGCACACAGAAACACCTGGGCGTACGTATGCGTCCGTGTCCACATCTGTGAAGATAACGCCTAAACACACACAGGTCTGGGCACATATACACAAAGATATTTAGGCACAGACTCGCCGTTAGGCATCTCCTGCAGGAGCGTGGGCACGCTTCGACCCATGCCCAGCCCTGGTGTGGGGAGCGGAGCGCGTGGCACAGCCCCTGCCCGGGCTCTGCGTGTTTCGGTTGAACAGGAAGCCTCGCCGCTCCTCTGGGCCCAGCTTCCCCTCTCTGCAGAAAAGCCCATATAAGGTGAAGCCTGGTTCTCTCCCCACGTCCCCAGGAGCCGGAACTACAGTATTGCTTGATTCTGAATTTCAAAACAGCCCGTTACCCGAGCACATGCACATCACTTGTGCTCATGAAGTCTCACTGAAAGGAAACAAGAGAAGGCAGGAGAAACCCAGGAGCTCCTAGAGCAGTCTAGATGAAAGAGACCCTTGACATTTTCCTCTGTTACATCTCCTTTTCTTTTTCGCACGTATATACCTTAAAATAAGAAACAAGGCTAAGATGCCCTCAGAGTTCCTCTAAAACCCACTGTAGCATCCCAAGGACAAACTCCCTTCCAACTGGAAGCGTGCCAGGGCCTTCGCTTGTTCCCCTTCATGCCCAAGGACAGAGTCCGTGCCTACCTGTAAGGTCCATAGTGATCGGTCCCGGAGCAGAGTCGCATACCAGGGTGAGTCGGGTGACCACCACATTGGGAGCTGTTGGGTCTGCAGGTAGGAAAGTCGGGGGAAGCTGTCAGCTTGCAAAATTAAATGCAGGGGGAGGGGAACGACACTGAAGAAATGGACTTGCTTTCCCACACAGAAACTGCGCTTCACGGAACACCCAGCTTCTCTTGGCACAACAGGACCATGCATCTACCCTAGTCCTTCAGCACGGATCCCTCCAGCCTCCACCCCAATACCTAGAGGAGGTCTTTCCACTACAGGAGACTGCCCTCTTAAGATCACTCTCAGCAGCAAGACCCCCTTTCAGCATAGACCAGACCTCTCATGTTTCTAACCCCTCAGGAGTCCTGCAAGGCCCACACACGTCCCACCACAAGTCCCTTTTCGATGCCAGCACCCCCTCGTAACCTCACATCTAATGCTTAGAGCATCCTCCCCACCTCCTTTACGTGCACCTCTCTGCCTGCCCATCCCCAGTCCTCCAGCAGAAGCAGTGCATGTGCCTGGTGAAAAAAGCTCCCTCTCCTTTGAGGCCACCTTGCCCCATGCCCACAGCACACTGGCGTGATGCATCCCCCCAGTCCCTTCCTATCAGCATGCCCCAGCCTACCTACTACCACAGGTCCATCTCCCAGCAGGGACTTCTTGTACTTAGCGAGGCTTTCATCGTCCTTGTCCAACTCTTGCAGCTCCTGCAGTGTTTTCTGGGGAGGAGGTTTGTAGTTGAGTTTCCCATCCAGCTCATCGTCATCTTCCTCCACATGAGGTTCTTGGGTCTTCTCAGTCATGGTCACTTAGGTCTGGGTTACAGAGGAGGGGACAGTCAAGACTGCTCTGGAGGGGGGGTCGCGTCCCCGGGGGGACTCGCTCTGGCCACGGCGTGGCTCGGTCCCCGTGGGCAGGCAGGCACCCGCCCAGCGCCGAACGCAGCAGGATCGTT